TGAAGATATATGTATGCAGATATCTTCGCATATTTTTGTGAACGTGTGTATGTGTGAAACCTTCAGAAACGAGTATATGTCTAATTTTCAGCTGACTGGTGGGTGGTTAAGTTGAGGAAGTGGGTGGCGGCGTGTCACAATCATCGTAAAAGTTAATATTACACTTGTTTGTAAGACCTGGTTTTTGCTGTCTTTGTCGTTTTATGGGTGACGCGGCTGATGGTAACATCAGTGCGAGTTAGCGCGCAACCACTTCCAGTCCAGGACAAGTATTTCTATTTATGGGAGTGTGGCCATCCACAAACACGCAAGCACTTTTGAATAGATGAACATTCAAACACACACACACACTCAGAGACTTCTACGAAGGCGTTGGATGCCTATGTTCGTGTGTAAGTATAACAGAGCTTTACAAGATGTCACTTTAACGAGGAAACTGAAAGGAAATGCTTTCTGTGGTTTGTACTTATTTTGCCAAGTACCTCCGTACCTCGTTTTGAACACGTTTTACACTAGTTTTTGCTCTCGTCTCCATGTCGTTGTCGCTGTCGTGATTGCTGATGTTTGCGTTGTATACTTGTTGTCGTTGTTGTTTTTGTTGTTATTTTTTTTGCGGTATGTCCTGAAGTGGTACTAGTAAAAGTACAACGCCTCTGGCAACTGACACCATATTTAACTTTAATTTAATGTTAGGTCCAGTCTATGGTAAAATAAAAAAATATTCTCATTTGCCTATGGCCAGGAGGAGAGAATGAAATTTAAATATGATATCTAAACTATGTTGATAGGCAAATTTTGTTAAAGACATTATAACACAAAACAACAATATAAGGCCAAAAAGTTACAAGCATGTTCATGGGTCATATTATTATTTTGTTTTCAGGATATCTATATAAATAAACATCACTCAGTTCGGCTATATATTTTCAACTTTTAGTTTGTTTTTATGTACTGTAGGCTCCAAAAACACCATTTTCAGTTCATCTAAAACGTGTGTAATAAGACTACTGGTCTCTACTGAGACTCAATGGACTTTTATAAATTTAAAACTAAGACTGCTGAATTTGATCTATACCGTGTGTAGATCCCCATTGGCTTTTCTAAGATTCGTTTTTAGAATGACTGTGGTCAGGTCATTTTTAAAAATCCTTAAAGTTTGACTCTCTTCAGATTATCATGAGTACGTCTTTAGAGTTAATCTATTAAGATTCACTTCACGTATAGACGTATACCCTGTATCAGCTGATCACCATAATATTAAAAGTCGATTTAATCGCTTTTAAATATGGAGCTTCAGTATTTTGCTTAGGCTGGTCCATGATTTGGTAAAAAACTCATATTATAGTACCTCAGAATTTTATTTTCTTCGTTCCAGCTTGTTATATAAGCTGACTTTTACTTTGGGCATAGCAGTTTGAGCTTAAAGACGTAAACTATAAGCCTTCCGATTTTTTGAGAAAAGATTTTTTTTTAATTTAAAAACCACCCCCTCCCCCTCACGATTTTTTATATTTAAGATTTTGGGCTGGTAAGATTAAATGGGCTGGTAAATGAATACCAATGCTTGTTAAGGTTTGTAACCTTGCACATATATATTTGAAGATTAAAAAAGGAAGGAAAATAATTTACAAAAAATGTTTGTTATTGTTTTTTGTGATCAAAGAAATGTCCTTATTTTTGATTGAACATCGGAATACGAAAATTCCAATGATGTTAGAAAGAACTAGGACCTTTGAAAAAATATTTTTGGAAAATCGCCGATTTTTGACCAAAAACCAAGTTAAAAAAATAAGAAAGATCTTCACCGATTGGCTTTATCCTAGTTCATACGATAGCTATACACTCACAGAGAAACGTGTAAAAATTTGGAATCGATTGGGTCATTAGTTTTTGAGACATCGTGCCCGCCATTCACAAAAGAGAAAAACGCGTTTAAAGTTTGAGAAGCCCTTTAGCCGTCACTTGATGCTGACACAATAAATCGCCTATATCTTCAAGAGTTCTTGAGATTTTTAGTTGAAATCGACTTTGGTTAACGGGTAGAACTCGAATCCTGAAAGTTGCAACTTAGGTTACTGTGGGAGTGTATGATTAATATAGGTTTGGAATATGGATACAGAATGGTACGAAATCTGGTACATTTTGGTGAATAGATAGAGCTGGAATTCTTAAATTTGGACTTACAATTGCTATTTGAAATCAGGTTTGGAATATTAAGATAGGCTTGGAATGTGGGTACGAAAAGTACAGAATGGTACCAAATCTGGTACAATTTGTTTTTAATGAACAGGCACAGCTGGAATTCTTAAATTTGGACTTACGATCACTAATGAAAGCATGATTGAGGTACATTTGGAAATTCGTACTTATGATTACAAAAAGTACTAAATTTGGACATTGGTGGAATTAAGATTGTTGTTAAAATAAAGGACTGATGAAGTTTTAGAAATGTTTACTTATGAGCATGAGAAGTTCCAAATGTAGGGACATTCTTGAATTAGTGTAGATTCGAATTAAATCAACAGAAATTTTGACCCCGAGAATGGGGGGTCACCTTAAAAGGAATTACTTTTTGGAATTTGGTAGATAATGAACATCATTTCCGCTCGTCTATATATACATGAGTTCGTCTGTAAAGTTATATTGAAAAGACTTCAGTTTAAAAGATGTATACCCTGCATCAGCTGATCTGTATAAAAACTCCATCTTTCAGATGGTCTACAAAAAGACTCCCTGTCTCAGGTGATCTTAATAAAGAATACCAGCTTCTACTGTTCAATATACAAACTTCCTACCTGAGTTCTTCTATAAAGACTCTCTGCTACAAAGACCACTTACTTCAGCTCGTGTATATAAATACTCCTTTTTAGCTGAAATATGAAAGACACTCTGTTTCAGATGTCTATATATGTAGTTTCTCAGCTTCAGCTGTTCCTTATAAAGAATCCCAGCTTAAGGAGTTTGATATGTAGAATATCATAATCAGCTCGTCGATAAATACTCTCTTCATCAGCTCGCCTATATAGAGTCCCTCTTGTAACTCGTCTATATAAAAACTCCCTGCTTCAGTTTTTCCAAAAACACTCGCTCGACTCATCTAAAAGACTCCCTTCTTTGACATGTCAATAAAGACTTGCTGGTCTAGAGAAATTCCCTTCATCAGCCCGTCTATAAAGACTCCATTCTTCGGTTCGTCTATAAAGACTCCCTGCTTAAAATCGTGTATAGAGACTCCATTTTTCAGATGGTCTACAACGATTCCTTTCTTCATCCGTTTTTTAACGATTCCTTTCTTCAGCTACTCTATAAATACTTACTTCTTCAGCTTGTCTATAGAGACTCCCTTCTTCAGCTGGTCTTAAAAAACTCCCTTCTTCAACTCGTCTATAAAAATTCGCTTCTTCGGTTCGTCTATAAAGACTCCCCTCTTCAGCTCGTCTATAAAGACTCCCTTCTTCAGATCGTCTGCAGAGACTCTCGTTACAGCTGGTCTATGAAAACTCCCGTTCTTAAGCGCGTCTATAAAAGCTCCCTTCTTAAGCTTCTTCTTCAGACTCCCTTCTTCACCTCGTCTATAAAGACTCCCCTCTTTAGCACGTCTATAAAGACTCCCTTCTTTAGCTCGTCTATAAAGACTTACTTCTTCAGCTTTATAAAAGCTCCCTTCTTCAGACTACCTGTTTCTGCTCAGGCATGTAATGAGACCCTGCTTCAGATTGTCCATAAAGACGTCCTACTTCAGTCCTACTACTTGTTTTTAATGACTCCCTGCTTTAGCTCATGCATATAAACCGTATGTACGAAGACACCACACTTCAACTCGTCTCTATTAAGTTTTTCCGCTTCAGGTCGTCTACAAAAAAACTCCTTTCTACAGAAACCATTCTTTATTACTTCGTACACATTTGTAATGTTTTTTGTAAAAAAAACTTTGTAGTATTGTGTTTGGGTTGTAGTAACTTTAAATTTGTCCTTGTTTTGTTATCCACGCTATGCGAAACTTTATCACTTAAAAATAAATGTAATCTATGTAAAATTGTGTTTTCCTATCTTGAGGATAGATTGTAGACATGTCTATAAACTATTTTTCCCCAATAGCAAAATTAACAAAAACACTGAACTGATTGGTATCTCTGGCCAATAATTAAATTTCTTTCTTTCGTTGTTTGTGTTTCAAAATACTTTTTGCTAAAGGCAGGCAATTTCCCTGACTGAAGTTTAATTATAAATATCTGTGTATTACAAAAAAAAAAAAAAAAAAAAAAAAAAAAATGTGGAAAGTTTTTAAACTCGTAAGGAATTTTGGGTTCTGTTGTGTTGTATTTAAATTATTTAGTTGGACATATTTATAGCTCTATACGTATTGGTGTCATGCACATAATTTAGTGTAATATTTTTTGTTGTAATTGTCAACATTTATTTAAATTTTTAGAAGAATAGATTTGAACAGTTTTTTAAGTATATGTTTATTTCACTCTCTAGTATTATTCAAACTTCTGGACCTATGTAGTCGTGAGTGCCCAACCCACAGAATTCGTCACATTTGAAAATAAACCCGCTTAATAACTTTCGTCTTTTTAACACATATTTCTTCGTTTGTTGACAAACGTCATTGGTCAAGATATAAAGTGGCACCTACGTATGTATTTACATATTTCCAACGAAGTCTACACACACACAGCCCAAACCCCCAATCAAAAAATTAATGTCCACGCGCAGACATACATTATCAACGAATCAATTAGAATTGCCTATCGTTCTTTTGTTCGTCATAATTTGAGACCAGACTTACTAGCTGACATTTCGGTTTTATTTACTTTGAAAATTGGGGTGTGAATTGACACATTCTAAACAAATACAAACATTGCTACTTAAATTTGAAAGAGTCACATTTTTCTTTTTGTTAGAATGCGTGTTAGATTCTGTAATACTTTTCTTGTTAACACGCCCGCTGACATCTCAATCAGTTTCGTTCAAATCATTCGTAGTATCGTACCGTTATGTATATTCAACTGTGGCTTTGCCTCTTCTGGTTAATTCCATGGAATATTTTTGTTGCGGCTGGTATTAAAACGTCTACAAATTTGACGGATGTTCGTCGGGAACATCGAAGCCGGCGTGGTTTGATTTTTACTAATGGCGGGACAATAAAGGTAAGTAAACGTCTAAAAGCGGATAAAGTGAACATATTGTGTTCTTACCAAATTAAGGAAGAGTGGCTATTCAAATGTTGGTAATTTCTCGATTAGTCCATTTGCACTGAATTTATATCTTTGGAACAAAAGTGTAGTGTAGTATAATATGGGGGAGTGTGTGTAAAATTCCGTTTATAAAACTTCCATATTTTCATCGGAGACCCCATAAAGTATATTTGTATATTCTTGATCAGAGTAAAATTCTAAGTCATCTTACCCATGTCCATTCGTCTTTTGAAGTTTCGAAAAAGCTCCAACATTTACATTTGAAAAGAAGAACCTAGTACATCAAACGGGGCTTGGACCATAGAAATACCTGCAATAGGGCTTGCGCTGCATATGGAAAGATTTATCGAAACAAAAACCAATATTAAATATGTATCTGTAATCATTTGGAAAATCCCGGTGGTACTGACAGACGGTGGCTACATTGAATATTTTCTACAAGGAACTTTTTACCCACCAAGAACAAGTAATGCCACAACATAGGTACATCGGTTAGAAAATACGCCGTGGGTCATCCAAATACCTATAATGGAATTGACTTTAATTTGGAAGTCACATCCAAAGATGGATTAAACTGGCTTACCCCTCCTCCTCAAGGTGTGCATTCAAAGTTCCTTAAATCGGACGTATCTTTCCATGAAGACAATGTTTTTGTTTTATGTGGTAGCAAGTTAATTGATCATGCTCTGAAAAAATAATGTTCCAAATTACAGACACTCAGGTTGGAAAAGTGGCGGAGGAATTTTAACATGTCGAAAATTAAATGGGAAAGAAGAAGAAAATAACTTTTTGTATTCACCGGGAAACTGATATGCCCACTTCGATTAAAAACTTTATTATACCGAAAATGTGGCGGGACCTTTATAAGGGAATTTATGTGCTATAACAAAATCCAACGGACTTTTTAAGCAAAGATGGGGTTTTCCTTCCAATATCCCGGTATGCGAAATTACAGATGCTATAAAGGGGAAATTCGTGTAAAACCTTCAAAATACTTACAATGGGGTGCTATCCTCAAAACAAGGACTTTTATTGTCCATTTTTATACCCTTCACCACACTGTGGTACAGGGTATTATGTCTTTGTGCATATGTTTGAAACAGGCAAAAATAATCGAGATAGACCCATGGTTCCTTTTGAGAATATACATAGAATCACTTTCTGAGGCGATTTATGCATGTCCGTCTTTCCGTCCGTCTGTCCGTCCATGTATTTTTTTTAACAAAGTACAGGTCGTATTTATCATCCGATTTGGATGAAATTTGGCACAGGTCACTTAATTGGCCCAAGGACGAACCCTATTGAAATTGGAGAAAATCGGTCCACGTTTAGGCATAGCTCCCATATAAGGGTACCCCCAAATTTTCGGTATTTTGAGGTTCTTGAGCGCGTTTTTTGACTGAATTCGGAGAAATTTGGTACTTTGAGTTCTTATTGGGTAGCAAATCTCCCTACCAAAAATTATAAATATAGGTCAATTTTTTCGGATAGCCCCCATATAAGGGTACCCATAATTTTCGGTATTTTCGGGTTCTTTTTTTATATTGATAATTATTGGTAAGGAGCTTTTTTACCCAATGAGAAACCAAAATATCAAATTGGAGCTAATTCCGCTAAAAACATGACTAAGATCATCAAAATACCGAAATATGATAGCGTTATATGGAGGCAAACCTAAAAACTGGGCCACTATAAAACATTTTTAGTAGGACGATTTTTTCTCAATGAGAACTTAAAATACAAAATTGCAAAAATCCAAAATATGTCATTTTAATTATCAAACATCTTTGGAGAAGTACAATTTTATGTTCAAAATTTTAAAACTCTACTTTAAATATTGCGAGATCTCTCCTAATTTCAACAGACGGGCATGGCTAAATCGAATGGCATACTTAATATACACTTCACTTTATGGTGAAGGCTATCATAAGACTAATTCTAGTTAGAGTTCATCAATCTAGTTCACTTAGCGGATCGATTTTTCTCGTTTCTTTTTTTTAAAGGAACTAGTTCCTTAATGTAGTTCCTTTGCTCTTTATAGTTCCGACTCCTACATAGATCCTTTGAATCTCTATCTTTCATCGTTCTTTTTGTTTTTTTTTTCGTTTTTTCCATATAGTTCCTTCGATCCATATAGTAACTTTGCTCCATATAGTTCCGACTTCTACATACTGCCTTTGCATTTCTCTTTCATCGTTCGTTTTTGCGTGTTTTTTTATATCGTTCCTTTGCTCCATGTAGTTCCTTTACTCCATGCAGTTCCTTTGCTCTGCATAGTTCCTTTGCCCCAAATAGTTCCTTTGCTCCAAATAGTTCCTTGGTTCCATATAGTTCCGACTCCTACATAGTTCCCTTGAATTTCTCTCTTTCACCGTTCTTTTTGTTTTTTTTTTTCGCATACATAGTTCCGTGCTGATTTGTTAATAAATGCAAAAATTGAAAATTGTGCAAAAATGAAAAAAAAAAATGAAATGAAGCTACAGAATTCAACCGCAGGACGATAAGCACAAAATACTTTTGTTTATACATAATAAGAATATTAAAAAAAGATTAACTATTTACACAATTCGAAATACGAATGAATGAAGAATATGGGAATAAAGGAACGAGATCAGAAAAAAGAACGAGAAAAAAAGAAAAAAAAAACGATATCAGAATAAGAAACTATATTAATTAAAGAGCTGGAACTAGTTCCGATCGTTCCCTTCTCGGAATAGTTCCTATGAACTAGTACGTTCCGGAACTACCCAACTCTAATTCTAGTCAATTTTCCACCTAATCATAAAAGTGTCATTTCAAGATTTATATGGACGAACATCGGGTCGGTCGGAAATATAGAATCTATATTAACTTATTTATAGAGTGCTTTTAAAGAACGAAATACCCAAAAAGGTATTCTGCGTGCAAGGTGGACATATCAAAAAAAAACTCTTTACAATTTAGTTTGTAGATCACTATATTGTCGATGCAATCGACTAAAAAAATCTTAAAATTACTTGCTCTGAATTTTAATAATAATTTCAAGCTCTCCATTGGTCCTGCAATGCCAGTAACTTTAGCGGATCCTATATCATTCCGTTCACTGGTCTGTTCGTACAATTTACAAGGAGGCCACTACACAATACCCACCGAGCCACTGTATCCCTGGGACAAATGGGAAGATACCTTTGCCAGATCTTTGAAGGACATCAAAAATAAATTCGAACGTTATGGTGAATACGAGGATGGATCAAGGGAATTCGTTTACACGCTTCTGGAGACCTATATAAGTCGTAACAATGCCGATGGGCGTCAATGTATGTTACGAGCCATCTGTGAAAATGCCCAAGTTCATCGACATGAAGGAGTCTTTGCCGAAATTCTTAATATTGTTCTAACGTAAGTATGGACATTTCATAAATCATCATTGAGGTTGTCATTAAGTTAGCCTTCTTTGTGCTTTGCAACAGGCCTGGCCATGAACATCTCGATAAATCATATCACATGGCATTACAAGCTGGACGCTATGGTGTTGATTGCCTACAAATGTATAATTTATGCCCCAAAGGAAGCAGTATCCTGGATCAATTCATCACTGATGTTTCATATTAACGTCGTGTCGATGAAGAAGAACAAGAGAAGGGAACGTAATAAAGAAATAGAATGAATATCCAGAAAACAAATAAAAGTGAAAGCTTATCAAGTTCAATAAAATTCTTACAACATACCAAGTTGCGACGATATGAGTTGAAAAAAAACATTGTGTATATACATATCGACAAACATCTTAGCTATGAAAACAATTTTATGCATTTTCTTTGGTATGTTTGCTGCTTATATTACGAAATGTATGGGCAATTTTATATATAATTGCTTACATGCGAGTTTTTATGGACTATAAATGAGTCTATTGTATAGTTACAGGAATCGATATTTATTGCTGATATTATTATGGCATAATAAAGTGTCGTGAAAAGGTTACGCGAGAAAACATCTTCATTACAGTCCATGTTTTGACATAGCATCATAAAAAGGATGCCGGTCGATGTTATGTATTTAGAGGCCCAATCGAAGTGTACATAATTTACCGTCATTTGTTCGTATATGGTACATAATATTCGTGTAGCAATTGTTCAATATAGATCCGGATCGGATGATAGAGTCGTAGTCCCCTTTTCTAACAAAAATTGTAAATTTTTGCCTTTCGGGTTATGTATAGAACCCCTGCTCGTAGTTATGCCATAGTTTTGGTCCCCTATGAAGGGGGATGTATAAAGTTTAGACAGATCTAAAACTGTGTCACAGGATACTTTGTGTGTGTGTGTGCATATGTTTGAGAAAATGCATAGAATCAATTTCTGAGTCTATTTACGCATGTCCGTCTGATTTTCTTCATTAATAATTGATTTATTTTATTAGAAAGCCCAAATTACCTACAAATTACACATTCTATTAAATTTTTAATCGATTTTGAATTTTTACCGACTAATTCAAAATCGAAATTCCATTTTCAACACGCTTGACAAAATCGAAAGATTGAAAAGTCGACATTTTAGTCAAAGGCCAAAATCGACTTTCTGCTCAGTGGCAAAAGCATTTTATGTGGTCGGAACCTTCCCACTTTTGAACGTTCCTTACCGGTTACTTATATTTAGTAGTCAAGTTCGACCATCATCTCTTCATTCAACGAACTTTTAATCCAAACATTATTTTGAGATATAGGAATGGAAAATAGTCTTTAGGGACAAATCAGGTCTGCGACAAAGTATATTTTATTGGAAAACCGAATATTTTATTGGGGTGACAATAAATTGGCTGAAGAATAATAGAGCAGCAGGTGGCAATGGGTTACATGACGTACTTTTTAAGACCCGTTGTTAAATAGTGATCAGGAATATGCACCAGCTGCTTAATATAATCTGGCAAGAGAAATCCAATACCAATTATTGGAATCTCAGTTTCCTATGTCCCGCACACAAAAAAGGAGACAAGGCAATATTTGCCAACTACAGAGGAAGTGGTCTCCTTCCCATCGCATAGAACGTGTTATACTGTAACTTCAACTCTACCTTATCTAAATATTTACACTGAGCCGAATCATGAAAATGACGCACCGCTCTGAGGTATTAAAAGCCATGTTTGCGTTCGGCATCCTAGCAAAATTGATACGGATTTGTAGGATATCTTTAACTGACACATAATCCGTAGTTAATGTTAGAAAGAACCCGACATTAATGAGACCGAAAGAGATTTCTGACAAGGTGATATCATATCGTGTAACCAACTGAACATCCTGCTGGAAAAGGTCATACACCAAACAGCATATATTACCCGTCTATTTGATATAGCCCCCATATATAGTTTTGTCCGATTTTAAGTAAATGGTGCACCAAAGTTTTTGTATATATCTTTCGATTTGCACGAAATTTTGCATAGTGTAGTCTAGAATGACGTGTGCCAAGTTCCGAGAAAATCGGTTCAGATTTATATATAGCTTCCATGTACATTTTCGTCCGATTTTAGGTAAATGGGGCACCAAAGTACCTATATATCTTTCGGTTTGCACGAAATTTGTCATAGGGTACTGAATTAAGTCTAGAAAGATATGTGTTGAATTTCGTGAAAATCGGTTTAGATTTAGATATATCTCCCATATATTTTCGTCCGATTTAAGGTGAATGGGGCACCAAATTACCTATACATCATTCAATTTGCACGAAATTTGGCATAGCGTACTAAATTAAGCCTAGAAGGGTGTGTGCTAAGCTTCATGAAAATCGGTTCAGATTTAGATATAGCTCCCATATATATTTTCGTCCGGTTTTATGTAAATGGGGCACCAAAGTCTCTATATATCCTTCGATTTGCACGAAATTTGTCATAGCGTACTGAATTAAGTCTAGAAAGATGTGTGTTGAATTTCGTGAAAATCGGTTTAGATATAGATATATCTCCCAGATATTTACGTCCGATTTAAGGTATAAGGGGCACCAAATTACCTATATATCTTTCGATTTGCACGAAATTCGGCATAGAGTACTAAATAAAGCCTAGAAGGATGTGTGCTAAGTTTCGTGAAAATCGGTTCAGATTTAGATATAGCTCCCATATATATTATCGTCCGATTTTACATAAATGGTACACCAAACTTCTAATGTTTGTCCGATTAAAACGAAATTTTGCACAACGTATCAAATTGAGACTTGGTTGAACGTTATGGCTTTTTGTTTAAATTGGCGCAGATGCAGCCATAGCCTCCATATGTATTTCGAAGGGGTGTCTGATTGAAATTAATTTTTTAACAGTGCGGCGTACCGAATAATGTGAATCAATTTAGCTACAAATCGTTTTTTTTAGACAGATTTAGACGACAGATTTAAGGTATATTTAGTCGAATGAAGTTGCATTTAACATAGGTTGCAGATTTGTATGTACCTTGGAGAGAACATTGACATGCAATTGTAAGGATACATATGTACAATATACCCAAAGTGGTGAAGGGTATCATATAGTCGGCCCAGTCCGACTTTACTACCTTCCTTACTGGTTTTTCTTACTACTTTCTTTTGACATGAAATTGTTCATACAAAATTTTTAACATACCTTTGCATGAGAATGGCGCACCTACACTTAACATTGCCTGTCTAGAGATAGAGTTTATAACATCAGAAAAAACTTTTCTTCTACTCTCGCCAGTGTTTGGTGTACCAATGTTTGGTTATGCTTCTTGATGATGGCACTTAGTTATCTTAGTTATACTGTTAAATACCAGGATTTTTCTCGTTTAGTCGTTGGCAAGACGCAGAGAGGTGAAAACACTTTAGTTCTGTGTTGATGCTATCACGTCTCACCTTAAAATGTACCGGTTCATGTATGCATGTATGTGTGTGTGTGTTGTCAGGGAATTTTCCATGAATGTAGTCTGCCCGACTACACTTGCTAAGCGAGTGTTAGAGTTGTGTACGTTTTCAAATCTATTTAAAATCTATTTAACACTAGACAGGGATAATCTAAGTTCAGTCTTTCAATATAACACTGAACTTTGACATGTGAGGTATCTGAAAGCAAAGCCAGAACTTGTCGGTAATCATTTTGTATTCTTTTAGCATTTTTATTAGGCAAATATATATATATGTATATATATATATATTATGTTGTCTTATGGAATTCTTGAACAGTGGTTTTAATAATACAATATTTTGAATTCACAAACAAGTAACATGCAAACGTGTCCATATGTAAGATGAATACTTCGATTATAATTTAAAACCAGTAATTAAAGATGAAAAGAACGAAGGGGCGACTATATGATGCCCTTCAGCACTTTGTGTAAATACAAGTGATGTTCCTACGATTTTTTTTAATAAGATCTAACAATATTGGTCTTATATGCACAATAAACTGTCGTCGAAAGACCACTGACACGAAGTCGGATAAAATTAATATATGATCAATATAAATATTTTAACCTATTATAATCATTCTATAGACATGTAATTCTGATATCTATGCCAAATTTCATGTCAATTGACTGACTGTAGGATCACTAAGCCACCTCGAGAAATATGTCATTGCTATCAGACAATTTTTGATTACATCGAACGAACACAAAAAAGTAAGCCATATCTATAGATGATATTTAAAAAATATATATATCTATATATATATATGTATATGCACAAACACATGATACCCTGTACCGCAGTGTGGTGAAAGGTGGAATGATTATATTGGAAAAACTTGAAATATGAGATAATATTGATCATTTTTGGTAGGGAGATTTTCAGCTCAATGAGAATCCCTAAAATTCGATTAGAATTAATTCTGTGTGTATGTTGACCCAAAAGCTTCAAAATACCAAAATTAAATCTGATCAGGTTGAACCAGTAAGGAAAGTAGTAAAGTCGGACTGGGCCGACTAAATGATACCCTTCACCACTTTGGATATATTCAATATATGTATCCTAAAGGAAAGTAGTAAAGTCGGACGGGGCCGATTATATGATACCCTTCCCCACTATCGGTATATTAAACAGGACTATTAATATGAAATTGGATGAAACAAAATATTTGATATTTATCTAAATGTGAATCTACCTAGATCTATCCATAAAGTATGTAAATCGACTTCAAACAAATATAAATAGGTCATCCGTTGGGCTATACCTGTACTTCTATAAAACGCAACTACGTAATTCTATGCTCAATTTTGTACGTTGTGCAAAATTTGATGTCAATCTGACTAACATGAGGAGTTTGATGCCCAATTTACTTGAAATCGGGCGAAAATATATATGGAAGCTATATCCAAATATAAAGCGATTTCAAACAAACTTGTCACAGGTTAGGTTATACTAATTTCAGAACGCTTTGTTCCTATTGGTTCCTTGGTGAGTCAATTACTTAAAATCAATCTAAAATAAAAGGGAGCTATATCTAAATCTGGGCCGATTTTCACGAAACAAGGCAAACATCACTCTAGGCTCAATTCAGTACGTTATGCCAAATTTCCTGCAAATCGAAGGATATATAGAGACATTGGGGGCACCATTTACATGAAATCGGACGAAACTATATATGGGAGCTATATCTAAATCTGGACCGATTTTCTT